TCAAAAACTAAGGGGTTAAATTGAAAATTCTAAAATTAGAGGGGTAAAAATGCAAATAAGGAACAAACTAGGGGTCAAACTATAATTTTAAAAAATATGATTGAATAGGTAGGATGATGTGGCACATGAGATGCATGACAGCTTTTAGGTGGGTGACTTGTTGCTAACTAGATAGATTAGGGTGACATGACTAATGATATCAGCATCTTCAACCTCCAGCAGGCATGTGTATCGCGTGGAATGACGGTGATAGTGCATAGGACTTTGAAGTGGGCACGTGATAGCACATGTGAACATTGATGGTAGTGGGATGACTCCTATTCTATATTTTTAGACCTCTTAAACACAATGGTGAGATCAAATTTTGGAAAAAGTGATTGGAAATGGAACTTCTAAAAGCGATAGTAACCTCTTTAACTGGTGTTGTCTTAAACTCAATTCCATTAGTGTTTTCCACCAATTCCCTTGCTCTAGAACCCTGTTTTGGTACCAAAAATGGTATAGAAACTAATGGAAATAAATATTATGATTTATTGTTTAAAACTGAGATGCCTTATAAGGACAATAAGGCCTTATTTATACTAATATGGAGGAGACAAAGCTTTAACTCAAAATAGAGAAGTTACAATTGTTTAATAAAAGGGTTACTAAGGTTATGGCTAAAGTTATGGATGGGAAGAGTTAGAGGAACATCAATGCTCAACCTCTGTTTCAATTATCAGAACTTGATCTTCATTGTTTTCATGGGGAGTTAGTAAGATTACCATTCCTAAATGCTAGCTAGAGAAAGTATCTACACCTTTACAAAGCCTTAACCTTCAAATCTTATCCCAAACAATATTTGAGAGTCATTCATCAAAGGAAAGCATCTCATAAGCAGATTTAACAGAAAAAAGCCACTCTTTTCCCTATGCCAGTTGATGTCATATCCATCCTAAATCTGCTTTATATTGCATTATACCTTCTCCCAAGTAGACGTAATGCCTGACTAGGCATTGAATTTGGTTATTTAGCATCAACCTTGGGGATCAGTTCATCCCTACAATGGTACTTGCTACACATGACCTTAATCTACAAGTCATCTCATTGCTTATAAGGCACCCATCCTACCTTCACAAGGAGGGCACTATTCTAGGGCTTTGCATGATGGAGGCCCAACCCCCTTTTCTTTTTCAATTTACAAACCTCATCCTAAAAAATAAGATGAATTTTCTTCCGCTTACGAATATTGCCTTAAAGGAAATCCCAATTACACCTATCAAGAACATCACAAGTATTATTAGGAAGTGAACATGTCTACGTCATGTGATCGGGCATTGTAGAAGTGATGGAGGACACCAAAGTATTCCTCTTGGCTTGCTAAATATAGTGAGCTAGGTTGCTATCTCACTAGTTTAGTTTTCACTTTTTCAATTGTCTTGGAAGGTATCTTTGTTAACCCTTTCATGGATCAAGGCAACTCAAAGATATTTGCCCAAATCCATAGTCTGTGAGAATCCCAGACAAGAGCTAATCTCTATACACCTATTTTGATCCGTATTCTCACAAAAAACAAATGAGTTTTTGAGGAATTTACCTTAAGGCCAGATGCGATACAAAAAACTCAAGACAAGACTTGACAATTTCTACTTGTTGAATATTAGCCTTTGCAAAAAGAATGATATCATCCACAAAGAAAAGATAAGAAAGGGGGCTAGTCTTATTGAGTGATATAGGTTCTCACACACCCAAATTAATCAAAGATTGAATTAAATGTGCTAGTTTCTCCATACATATCATAAAAAAATAAGGGGATATATGATCTCCTTGTCTTACTCCTCATGACAAAGTATAACTAGAAGTTTTGATCCCATTCTAAAGAAGTTGCTTGTTAGCTGAAGATATAGTAGAATAAATAAGATCAACCAACTTAGGGGGAAACTCTAATTCTCGAAGGAATTGTTTAACAAATCTCTAATTTTCCCGATCGTAGGCTTTTTCAATGTCAATCTTGATAGCCATAAAATTCTTTTTTTATGAAGAGCAATTATATCCTCTTCTTATGCTTTCCATATCATAAACTCAATCTGACAATAAAGAAGTCTTGTGAGTAGTAAATGTGTTTTCATGATACATTATTTTTTTGTGCTTAAGTTACTAACTATGTGATGTTGATGATAAGGCTTTGAGGATTGCCTAGCAGGTCAAGTTGTACAAGGCCCCACGTGATGTCAATGATCATACATGGATAACACCAAAAGTAAATATATGTTTTTATTCTATGTAATTGTGATGATAGAATTTCCTTTGAATGTAATTTTGACAATGTTATGTTATCCTATAGATCCATCATCAACCCCTTTTAGCTCATGCAACTTTATGTGTTAAGACATGTATAAAATATCATCATAGTTGGCTTGACTGAGTTGACAGAAGAGGTAAATCTAATTTTAAAGTTGTTATCTATTTTTTGTTTTCTTAGAATTGCTTAGTTAATTTTTTGTTTTTAATCTTTTTAAATGTTCAATGATGCATCTCCATATTCTCAATTAGAGGTCCAAGAAATTAGGAAACACTGGGGATTGTTCATGTTAGACCTCCACAATAATAATCCACTAAAGAGTGAGTTTAGGATAGGTGTAGTAGAATCGTAGGAAAGATTATTGAATTTATTTGGATTTTGAATGTTAAACAAAATTGTAAATATTTTACAATTAATTTGATTGAATTGGATTGTATTTTGGTTTGCTGGATGTATACATTGCTTTTAAGTTGTAGGCTTTAAATCGTAACCTATCATGGTTGGGGTTCTTGAAAAAATGAATGAATGTTTTTTTAACACAGTTTCTAGTTATGGCTATAATCAGTTTAGATAGGCCATAACCTGTTTAGATATAGATGATATGTAAATTGGTCATCACATCATAACTGATTTATAAATGAATTTTTTAAGGGAAATGGGAAAAAATTGAAAAAAATTTCCTAAACCTTTATCTAAATCGATTTCACAACCAGTTTAGAATAAGTATATTCTAAACCAATTGTGTAATCAAATCGGTCATATCTAAACTGGTTATAAAATCGATTTAGATAATCATTTTTAACTAGGTTAGACATGCTTTTTCACACTAATGTATGTCTTCTAGGAACAAAACTAAATTGGTTAGGAGAAACAATTTGAGGCAGGAAGGTTCTGATTCTTTTAGAGACCACTTTCATAATAATCTTGTAAGTTACATTACAAAGGCTAATAGCCTTAAATCTCTTAGGATTTAGGTGGACTCTCCTTTAAGATGAAGACAATTAATGTTTCATTGATATCCTTGAGAGATTGTGGGTGCTCAAAAGTGAACTAAACATAATCCACAACAAATTTACCAATCTTGTCCCACTAGTGTTAGAAAAAGAGTGCATTACAACCATTAGGCCAGGTGACTTGAGAGGTCCCATGTCAAAAGCTGCTTCCTTAATCTCTTGTTCCTATATACTTGTAGCATGCCATTCTAGTGGGGAAGCATTAATGGTAGGGTAAGAAATATCACAATTAATTGGACCTCAATCATGAGACTTCTCCATAAATAAAGACTAGTAGTCATACTTTTAATAATCTCTTGCTCATTGCACCAATTACCATCAACATCTTTTAACGCTGCCACTTTGATTTTGCGCCTATGATTTGCATACGAATGAAAGAATTGGGTGTTGCAATCTCCATGCAAATGCCACTTCAATCTCACCTTGTGTGCCAAAAGAAATGAATTTTGATTTATCACATCTTCAAACTATTTCTAAAGTTAGATTTGTAAAGCCTCAAAGAATTTTACATGTCAACCCTAGCAGTAGCTCAAGTAATACCATCAATTTTTTCATTGAAGTTCTTTTAAAAAAATTAATAATATATAAATTTATAAAGATGAACTATCCCCTTATATTACATTGGGGTGGAGTTTAAATAATGGTTGAGATTTAAAAATTTTATTATTTATGTAAAATATATAACCTTTTTTAAATGAGACAAGTGATCTTCTTAGTATATAACAAGTAATCTTTTATAAATGAGCATGTAGTTCAATTAATATGAGATTATAATAACTTAACGGTTTTAAATTTGAGTCGTGGATACCCATAATGAGTAATTGTATATATATAAAAGTAATCTTTTAAATTTATAGGAATTGGTATTTCATTCTTTTTTCTCTTTTCTCTTTAAAAATAGCTTTACTTAGTTTTATTTAAGTTAATATTAATTTTAATTCAATATAAAATTAATTTAATATAATTTAATAAATATCAATAATAAATATAAAATTTTCACTATTTTGTTGTTTTTTTTATACTTGTTATGTTTGTATATTTATAAAAAATTATATGTTTTTTTTTTGAGAAAAGTTAAATGATATCAATTAAAATAAAAGGCAATTATAGGATAAAAGTGACTAATAAAAAAAGAAGACCAAATAAAAGAGTTGAGAGACTTAGAAAAAGCATGCTTGGTGATAGAGACATATCTTATTACTGGTAAATGTTTAATATATTTATATATGACATAAAAATTTGTAAAATAATAATTTATTTTATTATTTCATATTCATATTTTTATATATTTTTGAATTATTATCTTATCTATTCATAAAGATTTTGTATTAATATATGCTAACATATGTTCTTATCTACTTTATTTGTTTTAATCAATATAGTAAAATGTTAATATTTTTTTACTTATTTAAAAATTTTGAAAAATGAATATGAAAAAATTAAAAAAATAAAAAAACTTAAAAAAACTAAAAATATAGTTAATCTTTAGTACATCCAAGGTGTAATAGATATTCTGGTAAAAATCTTATTTGATATGAAAGAATTTTTTGACTACTATTTAATATTTAATATAGAAGAGTAAAGAGTTAGGTATAAGTTATTGATAAAATAAATTTTATTATTTAGAGTATTTAATTTTGCTATTTGAATAATTAATTTTGGACCTTTACCAAAATTCTTCTTAAATTAATTATAACCCCCGATAAAACCCATCCTGGGAGTGGCGGATCCAGTTCTCTTCGTCGACGAACAAGGATCCCCGGACGCCGTCCACCGTTGTCAGCCCTGCGTGGTTGTTCTTGGGCAATCAGTGAAGAATTTTCGATCCCTAGGGCTTTTTCAACTCCGAAAATTCGGTGAGATTGATTTATTCACTCTTGTTTTGAATCTTGATATGAATTTGTTCCCCGCGTAATCTGTTCTCTGCGTGGATGTTCCTGCTTTGTTTTAAATTTTTCATTTTAATTTGGCTTTGAATCTGGTCATGTAATTGTTGAACATTGACGCCTTTGAATTTGGGAATATTTACACATTGATTTTTTTTTTTTTTTGGGTACTAGTCTTTGCTTGCATGGTGTGTAATTGGCTATCATACTTCTTCCGTCTTCATTTTGATTACTGGAGGCTTGTATGATTTGGATATTGTTGTTTTGCAATGTTGGATTTGTTGTGTATTGGCGTTCTGTTTATTGTTATTTTTTTTTTATATTATCATCAATTTTGGAAATTCTCAACGTATTTGTGACGCATGATCTTGTAAATGACTTGGCTCGACTCTTGTCGAAGTATATGGAACAAAAATTAAAATGGTATTATATCAACTCTGCATATTTCAAAGATTTCAGTGGGGACAAGCATATGTCCGCCTATGGCCATAGTGACAGTGTGTCGAGTGTATTTCAGAACATAATTGACTAGAACAAGTTATATTAATAGTATATCCTTGTAAATTTTGAAATCTCACTGCTTAGACTTAAATTGGGTTAGTTTGCTGGTTCCATTTGGGGAGTTATGTATTATCGCTGTCTTCTCTAGTTGGGTGGTCTTGAGATTTATCTCTTGTCTTTATTGGAATTACACGATAATTTATATAAGATATTGTTGAGAAACAGTAACACAAAGTGCTATATAGTCTAGCTAACTAAATTCTCTTTATTGGCGGTTAGAGTTTGTTATAATATGGTTATTGGCTATCCTCCTCATCAAGTTGTAATCTCTTCGTATATATACATGTGCCTTAGTGGTATACCATAGATATCAAAGACAATTCTTTCTTTTTATTTCCACTCTCCTTTCTCCTCTCTCTTCTTTCTGCAACTTACAAGATTAGCAGCAGTCCTGTAGATATTTATCTTAAATTTTCTGAATATGGACTTTGGCATTGTGTTCTTTTGTCTCTGTCAGTGCATGTTGTGAATGAGTAAGTTTTGCCAGATAAACTGACAGGAAGGAGTATAATATTTGGTAGGTGGTCCAGCTCTGATCAAATTGTTGCTTGTGGAACGCCTGAATTTGAGAGAAATATGCAGAACGGAGAACAAACTCAAGAAGATGGGCAGATAGAGTCTGTGGCTTCCCCAATGCCTGAATTTGAGGAGTGGGCCAATTTTGGGGATGATGACATAATGCAGCAACACTCTATTGTTCAGTCCGAGGAAGCCAAGAAAATACCATTTGTTGGTGACAAGGCAAGTCCCAACACGTGGCTGATTGAAAAGTCATTGTTCTGGCATGTCATGATTTTGCAGATTATATCAACTTTTTATTATGTTATGTGGTGTGTTTGCATTATTATCATTGGAATGTCAAAATGCTTATAATTATTTTTCTTGTGAATCTGAGTTTGAGTAATAGTGAATTGGCTTTTTCATTCTGATGGGTAGTTATATTCCTAATAATCTGTAAAAGAATTTATTCTCACAAAATGGCAGGAACCCCTCAGTTCCTTAGCAGCTGAATATGAATCAGGCAGTCCTATCTTGCTGGAAAAAATAAAGGTTTGGCCACCTTTTTCTTTTTGTAACCTTTTGAATTATCTGTATCCACTTACTTTTTCTCCTGTGTCTCATGCCGTTTTCACATTGCCCTTCCTACAGTTGCTTGATGAACAATATTCTGCTATTCGGCGTACCAGGGGAGATGGGAACTGCTTCTTTCGGAGTTTTATGTTTTCATACCTAGTATGTTTTGGTATATTTAGCTTATAAGAATCCTTTACTTGTACAGTATAGCTGTTCTTTGGTTCCTGAAAGCTAAACTTCTATGATTTTGATTTTGGCTAATAACTCTATTGTCAACAACTTTCACAGGAGCATATTTTAGAATGTCAAGACCAAGCAGAGGTTGAACGTATCAAAGTGAATGTTGAAGAATGTAGGAAAACACTTCAAAAATTGGGTTATGCAGACTTGACGTTTGAAGATTTTTTTGCGGTAACTTATATCAACTTCATTTCTTATTCCTTCTTTTATGAGGACATTGGTCTGTATTTTTGTTTTCTTCAGATATATTGTAGTTAAATTTAGTAAGAGTTGGTATTCTTATTTTGTTTTAAATATTATATAATATTCTTATTTTGTTCTAAGTATTATATAATATTTTGCAAGTACAATCGCTAAATATTCAAGAATTAGAAGTCAATGGCTTTTGCTTTTGCAATATAGTTTCATTTTGAGCCATTGCCTGTTTTTGGATTCGCACTTGTAAGTTGTGTCAATTGTGACAAGGATCGCTTGTGCATTATCACTGACCAAAGTGCTCTAATGTGTTCTTCACAGCATGTTGTCACTCTCCATGAGTGAGTGCTGCAATTTTGGTGCACAAGGCTAACTAGATCATTTGTAAATGTGGACTAGGTGATGTGCAATAGTCATTTATGTCTCAAATTAAACTAAGCATCTCTAGTGTAAAATAGTGGCAACTGAGGTCATTCTTCCCAATGAGCTGAAATGAGATTTTTCAAAGATGAAATTGAGGTGTGATAATACAGCAACAAAAAGTTTGATTTGGTTTATCTAATTGATTACTAAAATGAGTGAATACTAATGTTCATATGATTGTCTGAAGTTATAGAGAGCAAGTGTGCAAATGGTTTGTTTAGCAATTCAAATGAGAGATCCCTAGGAGTTTGATGTGGAAATAATCCTTGTCAATTTTCATTAGCTAGTTTACCCTTCTCATGGGTCTTTTATAGTTCAAGAGCTTCTTAAACATAACAACAATAGTCACCATGTACTTCCTAGACCTCTAGCAACCATGTACTGAACTGGACCCACTTCATTAAGACCCCAATGTGTAATTTAATGTTAGGATAATTAAAACAGCCAAAAACTGTACCTAAATGAAAATCAACAAAATCTAATTTAGGCGTGCCAGTGGTACACAATGCAACATGGCAATTGTCAATGCATTGAACCAATTAAATCTCAAGGCAAGCATAAATGTAACATTGAATTCAAAATTCCAGCATATGTTCCAGCAATTCAATACCACAATTACAAGTTTCCTGAAGCAAATATTTAAGAGTTCAAGGTACAAAACCTACAAACTTGCAATCCAATTAAATGAACTAGAAAGAATTGCAAGAATATATTAGAGGAAACTAGATTAAATAAATTTAGCCCCTTTTAGACCATCACTCGTGCTTCTTCCGTCTTTCTCCTAGAGACCAAAGGTTATTAGCCACGCATATTAGCCTTCAGTCCTCCTCCATATGGTTGATTAAGGTTGGCCATGATGATGAACAAAGTGAGTGTTGCGATCTTGAGAAGAAGAGAGTACTTGGTCAATTGCTTGATGAGGTTATGATTTGAATGGAATGAGCTTGAAGATTGATGGATTGGATCAGGATTAGAGAGATCAATGTGCAGAATCTAAGGTGAAAATGGTGAAGAATTCAAATAACATGAAGAACAATTGACAGGAAATGAGGTAAAAATATGAAAATATTGTGAATTATCACTAGGGCACTCATCTAGTCCAGGATTATATTTTATAATGTTATTGATAACTCTCTGAATATGTTAATATGGTAATTATGGTCAATTGATATGAAGTAGAATTTCCTCGGCTTAATTGTTCCTTTTTCATTCATTCATTTATTTTATTTTATTTTGTGTTTTGTGTTCTTTTTTCATTCCTTTTCCCAGAGTTGGGTGATCTTATTCTATCTTTTAATGACATTGCATCTTGCTGAAGCATTCCCCTAAATCCCCCTGTCCCTAGAGGATAATTTTGTTCTGAGAAGGAGGGGGTCTAGTCAAGTCCCAACATTATGACGGAGACTTGGTAGTATGGGATCCCAAGTCCCATATTGAGTAATATGGAATACTCAATAGAGTATTTAAATGAGTTGGTTCTCCCATCTCAACATCTAGCTTTTGGGATAGGGTTTTTCATTCCGTTTAGGTGCCTATCAATTGGTATTAGAGTATGGTTGTTGACAGTGTTGGAAAAGGGCTAACAACCAGAGGGTTCTAACTGATAATAGGTCAAGTTAAGTGTCATGGAGTGCAAGTAGTATGGGATGATCAACAGAGTATTTAATTGGGTCGGCTTTTCCCATCTCGACAGTTAGTTTTTATGGTAGGGTTCTTCATCCAATTTAGATACCCATCACATTACAACCACAAAATCTCCAGTTTAGATCCATTGTAACAGGCGCTGAATAGGGACTGGGAGTAAGAGCATAGAACCATAAAGTAAACCAATTGGCAAATGCCTCATAGTGATCTAACACTAAAGTTTTTGAAAAATAGTACTTGCAAAACACATTTGTTCCCTAATTCCATGGGCTCCTTTGTTAAAACTCTGAATCAAGCTAAAACGTTGGAGGACTGCATTCTATTTCTAAATCATAACTATAATTCGTGTAATTCTCTCAATCCTCAAAACTCATGCGGAGATGAGAATTACTTTTTAGCAAGTGCTGTTTAGATTGAACTTGCTATAAAAATACGTGATGCTATAATGGGAGGCAAGTTGGTGACATAGATCTAGATGAGATGATTGAGATTTCAAGTGCGCATACAAATTTATTTTGTTTTTCTCAGTTGAGGATAATAATTTTATTTTTATTTATCTCCTATATAATATATTTATTTCTAATGTATGTTCAAAATTTCAGTTATTCCTAGAGCAGCTGGAATGTGTTATCCAAGGAAAAGAGACTTCCATAAGGTGTTGATAATTTCTTATTTTACCAAGAATTGGCATTCACAATAAGTTGGATGCATAATCTGATGCCTAAATTATAATACGTTGGCATCTTCTGTTTATTGGGCTCTAACATTTTTTCCCAATAAACTTTACTGTATGTCACAGTCATACTGAGCTTGTCTTTAGATGCCGAGATCAATCAATATCGGATTATGGTGAGTGACTTGATATTCATGCCACATGCCTCATGTATTTCTTTTCATCCATTGACAGATTTGTTTCGTTAGTGGTTATGTTCTTCAGATTTGTTACCTCTGGTGAGATACAAAAGCGCTCTGAATTTTTTGAACCTTTTATACTGGGCTTAACTAATTCAACGGTTGATCAGGTCCGTACTTTGTTAAACTTGTTGGTCATTGCAAGTGTTTTAACTTGAACATAATCAATATCTTGATCAAACTTAAATTGTACCATCAGATTCCATTGTTGGAAAACTGTGCATTGACTCAATCTTACTTTCATATCTAGTTTTGCAAATCATCTGTCGAGCCAATGGGTGAAGAGAGCGATCATATACATATCACTGCTCTTTCTGATGCATTGGGCATTCCGATCCGTGTTATGTACCTTGACCGCAGCTCATGTGATAATGGTGGTGTCAGTGTGAATCATCATGATTTCTTACCAGCTGCTGGTGATCTCAAACATGCTAGCTTGAAGTCTCAAACAAACGATCCTTTCATCACGTTGCTTTATCGCCCTGGTCACTATGATATCCTTTATCCAAAGTGATGAAGTGTCATGATCTCCTTGGTACGCCTTTTCTCTGTGAGCCATAGCTGCTCCGCGCTGCAGCTAACCATGTAAGGACATTTGTGGGTTACTTTTGATATTGGGCGGCCAGTTGTCCAAAGTTTAAGTTGTTTAGTTAAGACCCAACTATGAACAAAGCTTTCATCATTAATACTTACTAATAACATGAACTTTCGCCTTGATTTCAGCTGTTGCATTATGTCTTTTGGCAATTCGTTCTTTCTGGCATTCTTGTGCATGAAGTTACCTTGGATTGTGATGACAAGTGTGACGCTATGCACCTTTGTAGTAACCTAGGTTTGGGACGTTGGAACTGGAGGATTGGGTTGTTAGCTAACAATTTGACAATTAATCTTTGCATTGAAAAAACGTCAAAACCCTGATTCGTCAGCACCTTTGAAGAAATTACTTGGTTTGGCATATTTGGGGTAAAACAGCTAAATCATTGTATTTTATTTGAAATAACTAATTATGTCTGTTGCAATTTTTTCCGGGTTATAAGAATGCAAGATATTTTTATTGGTTAAAGTTTACTCCCTTTGATTTATAATATAGGACATTTTTTAAAAATTTTTAATCTAAAATATAGGATTATTGAAATTTTTGTCCCATACAATTGTTTCATTTATTATTCTTTTTAAAAAAATGGTTCATTTTGTCATTGTTAAGATACTTATGTAGAGGTATAATTCCTCCATTAAAAAATGAAAGTATTTTTAATTAATTTTATTTTTTAATAACATAGTTATTTATCTTTAAATAAATTTTATTTTTTTATATTTACCTTTATTTAATAAAGTGTTTCATCTTAAAAAAATTAAGTAGTCTATTCAATAAGGACACTCTCGAAAAAATAATAATAATTACACTTTAAAAGACTCAAAATGATTTATATTTTTTAATATTCAACTCTCAAAAAATATTTTTACATTTTAAAAAAATTTGTTAAAAAAATTAAGGTTTTAACTAGCTATGAATTAGGTATAAATGTTCTATATTATGAATTGAAGGGAGCAAATGCTATCATATTCTCTCTCGAGTTATAGCTCTAAGCCTAACCAAGCATTTGCTATTAAACTTAAACATCTAACTCTAGTTCCTTGGTCAGATCCTTCACTCATAATAGATAATCTATACACCAACAGATGTTGATTCTTGGGGGGAAAAAATTAGGTCGCATTTGGTTCATGAAAAAGGAGATAATGAAAAGGAATGAAATGATGAGAATGGAAAGAAATGAAATGATCATGACTATAAATTTATTTGATAGAATACTTAAGTAGGTGGGAATGGAGTTTATTTATATTATTTGTTTAGATATAAATTAAAATATAAAGATCATAATATCCTTACCATAATGAAGCAACAACCACTTTTTTCTTATCTTAATGCATTTGCCTTTTTTTATTTTCATTCAAAAGTTTTTTAGAGGTTTATACATACATATAGGCATACATATGTTAAGGTGCTTCAAAGAATATTATTTTAAATTTAAATTTTACTTTGTAAAAGTAAAAATTAAGGAAGATATTTAAATATGGTACACAGGGAATTAAATTTTAAACTTGACTAAATTCAAAAACTTCTTAAAAAAATATTTTTCATAAGATTAAAAATATTGTAAAAAGAAAATAATCAATAAAATTAAAACTAAAAAGGTGGGTGTGAAAATTTAACAAGAACATTTTTGTAAAAACATATTGAATTTAAGGTGGGTGACATGATTTTTTTCATTTTTTAAAGGCTTTCCCATTTTTAAAAATTTGATAATCTATGTTTTTGAGAGAGACCATTTCATATCTCTTACAAGTAACCAAATGTGGATGAAATAGGATTGGAGGCATGATTATTATTTCTTGGGTCAAGTTTCTGTAACCAAACAAGGCCTTTAGCTCCAAATACAGTAATGCATTAAATAATTGGCCAACAAACCAGATGTTGATCTCCTTAATAGATGTTGATGTGCACATCGGGTCTTGAAGAGACTGATATCGAACTCTCTCTTCCTCTCTCTAGATTTCACATCTCGGGTGATGCATGAGCAACATTAGAGACAAAGGGAGTGGAGTGTTGGAAATAAACATATAAATAAAAGATTCAGAGGGAGACATATTGGTTTCGGGTTCAGAGTATATTACCCGATACTTATATCGAGAGTTGACTAAAAGACAATGTTCTATAAGACACGACATATGCAACTTACAGGGAAGAGAGAATTTAGTTCACTAAAAGAATTGTGTGTTTCCTTTGGGAGTGAGGTGGATGACTTATATCAACACAAATCATATCATACCACTTGGATTTATGATAAAATGATTGTGATCGATATATCCAATCAATTGTGATACCTCAATTAAAAAAGATAGTTCAGATTAGCTCAAGAATCACATCACATTTAATTCTTTATTTGGTTAAAACTGATTTAATCAAATATTAAATTAAGGGATTAATTTTTAATCCTTAAATTTGTCTCAATTATCGATTTAGTCTTTCATTTTAATTTTTATCAATTTAATTCCTTAAACTTACTTTGATTGTCAATTTGTTTCTCATTGTTATAAAAGCATGTTGCATTAAAATTTATTGATATAAAAAACAAAATATTGATCGCAGTTATATGTATTAATAAAAAGAATTATAATTATTTAGATAGGAAAAAGACTTTAAAATTAAAAAAAATAACAGAACAAAATATATTGTAAGGGATTATTTTGATAAAGGATCAAACTAATTTAAAGGTTAATTTGTTCTCATTTATCCACATATATATGTTATGTCATTAACATACTTTACATATTAGATTATTTCAAGAATCAATTTGTGTTTTAAAATTTAAAGGACTCACATGATAATTTAAGAAAACGTAATAAACTAAATTGATAAAAATTTAACTTAAAAGACTAAAAGTTTCAATATTCCTAAATTGAATATCAATTATTTTAGTTAATTTAATTCAGCTAAAAAAACCTCACCAAATATTTTGGCCCATCAAAGGAGTACTCAAAATCCAACATCTCGAACTTAACAGAATTAACATTAGGCATGACATCTTTTTTGTTAAAAAAAAAAATTCATGTACTAGTCCTATAATAGGATATCACACAAAGACATCACTTGTGTAATTGCATTACGTTCATAAGTTGTCTCGAATTCTCTAAATTTACCAATACAAATTGCTCATGGCACATCTAATTTTTCTCAAGTTAAATGTTTCTATCTTATATTTCCTTTTTGTATGCTAGTATCCACATTCACAAGTTATCTAAATTACTTACAAAGGACATGTCCCAAACATTAGCATAGTTGTGTGTTTTAGTGTAAGTCTTCCTTTAAACTAGATATCAATCTGGTTTGATTTAATCACTTTAACATGAGTTGACCCATTAGATTGAATCAATCATGATTATGAGGTACAAGCAAAAGTAGTTGTCACTAAACTAATCCTTCATGATTGTCAAAATCATAATGGCACTGTGAAAGGATTTTCTTTTTTTTTTTTGGGACACTCATAGTAATGAAACAAGGATCTTCCATTCAGTTCCCTTATTATGGTCATTTAAGTATATGTAATATGAATTGCATGCTATAATATTTCCTTTAACCTATATGAGCATATGACACTTTTAGTTTATGAACACCGTACAAGCACAAATTCTAGAAACATGCAGTATTTCAATTAGAACTCCCTGAATCACAATACTCATGACATCTTTAGACAATAATTCTTTGACTTGCTACAAGCATTATAGATGGTGGGTATCTGATATGTAAATAACATAAACTTAACAGTTAGTTAGTCATCAGTTACAGAAATTAATTCATTAGTTAGCATTACATACTATAAATAGCATTACATACTACATTTATAGTCCCCTATGTCTAGAGATGCAGCGTGTTGCAAAATCATAACAATTCAGAGTATTATTCAAATTTCTTCCTCTGCTCTCTCTCTTCTCCTCTCCCCCACCTATTAATGATTTTAAAAATAGTACCGAATCGGATGGTTGGACCGGTTAGATTCAATGGGAGCCATTAATAGCTAGGTTTGAACCAAAAATCATTTTCCTGATTGAGTTGGATTGAACCAAAGTTGAGCTACTATTAAGCTAAAAACTGAAATTAATGGGGAATCGGGACAGTTTTTAGAAAATCGAGCAGTTTTAAACATAATATTAAAAAAAGCTTAAAAATTAAAAATTAAAAAATTAAAAAAATTAAATTTTATCAAAAGCAAACTTTATTTTTGGATGATTTACATGTATTAAATATGATTTGAAACTATTTTTTTATGAAAATGTTGACAATTATATATGCAAATGCAAATTACTTTTGAATTTACTCATATCTAATTTAACCAAAATTCACTTATATTTGATAAATTATAAAATTATAATTTATAATGTTATTAATTTATAATCATGTTATGTCATTTTATTAACATACTATTTATTGTTTTTCTTGTATTTATTTTCTATATATATTTAATATTATTTTTATTTAATTGTTATGTCATTGATTTGATGATTGGTCTAACCTAATTAGACCATACGAATTGGCTAGTCTTTTCAATTCAATATTCAATTCAATTCTAAAGATATTGCTACTTACCACTCTCCATCCTCTCTTCTCCATCTTCTATCATATTACTGGTATCTAGATCCCTCTTTCCTACTTTTTATGCTTGAAACACTCCCAGGCCGCAATCAACAGATGGCAGAATAGTCAGATGAAAGAATTCATATAATAAAAAAACTAGATTCAGGCACTGACAGCTCAGGTAGCCCAATTCAATCATACTATGGATGAGTCTTGCAACAATGGAAGCTCAACCAACAATATTGGGGGTGGCCGACATAGACCAAGAACATACCTACATGACTATCCACCTCTCACCAGATCCACAAAGATAGAATTCCCAAGATTTCAGTGAGGGGGTGTTCTTGGCTGGCTTTTGGAATATGAACATTATCTCCAAATTGATGAAACACCTGAAGCATGGAAGGTTACAATGGCTAGCATCCATTTAGATGAGAAAGCGTTTCAATGGGAAGTGATCGAATGGGAAAATATGTGGAGGCTATTAAGAAATACTTCAGACCTATTACGAGGCACTCATGCTGACTTGATGTGAATTTAAAAGTGAGAAACAGGCAGGCCTGGCCCATAACTCAGAATCTTAAGCTCGATTTCTTAAAAATTGATTAATTTTTAAAGCTCAGCCCTTATTCAAATAACCCATAGATTGGCTCATAAGTCTATTATTAATATTTTTTATTTACTAAATTTTTTTAAAAATTAAAAATTATAATTATAACATTTTATTTTTTAAAAAATAAAAATTATAATATTAAAAATTTAAAATAAATAATAGAAAATTAAATTTTAAAGTATAAATATATATTTTAAAGTTTAAATTTAATTTAAAAATAAAAATATTTTATTTTTTAGAGCTAAAATGAAAAACAACAACCCCACTTCGAGCTCTTGTTTTTTAAGGCCTATTAAGGCTAAGCTTTAAAACTCAGTTTCTCTAAAAAATGACATTCTTTCACATCCAAATCCTTATGAAAATGGATTTAAATGGATGATTCATCATGCTCAATTTTTATTTCTGACTCGATTTTGACATATAAGGAGCCAACGACTACAATGACTCTTCCGATGGAATGACATGTAAACTTGACCTAGCAGAGGATCATCTTGTGTAGACCTATCTTGAAGGCTTACAAAGGAGTTTGCTAGGCTTGTTCGTTAGCCCACTAAACTTACAAGATGCAAAACGTTTGGCCTGTCTCAAAAAATGCATTTGCAGAAAACATCGAACCAAGTGGACGAGATGCTTATTGTACAACGCAATGGGAGACTCAACGGTGTCTTCACGATCTACGCCCACTTTGTCGACGCCGAAATGGGGCTTCTCTTGCGATGGGTCTCGCAAAAATGAACCCAGGACAAGGAAACACAAGTCTGAAAATTCAGTCATTTCAAGTGCAGTGTCCAACACGAGAAATTCTTCAACGAACGCTAGAAATCCTTCTTCATCTACACCCAAACAATTTATTTCTGGGATAAAATTTCCAATAAAGTTAACTCTAGAGGAGAAGGTGAGCATAAAGCACTAAACCTCTATTTTTATTGTCACAAAAAATATTCCAGAGGCTATATTTACTCTCAGAGACGCAAGATGCAATTACAATTGTATTTATTCAGTCTTTTGAGAGGTTTATAAGCTTTCTTTTCTCAAAATCTGTTGAGAGAGGTTGAAAAAAAGGCAAGCTTGAGTGGATCTTTATTCTTACAATTTTTTTTTTTTTGTAAGGGATTGTGAGTTGTTTGAGACTTATAGTCTTGGTTTGTACTATGATGATAAGTACCTAATTGAACTTATGGAATTAGTTAATAAATTTTATTTTAACATTTAGATATTAACATATTTGATAAATCAAACTATAATAACTTCATTAAAATAAAATAAGCTACAAAATATTATTTGAAATTGAAAAAATTACAAGACTTGCAAATTAATGTTCGCTTATATTATTAATGTTGACTACAATTATCATATACATTTTTCATTAAAACTTTATTAAAAAATAATTTTAATGATTACAATAACTACTTTTTTACTCATGCCCTTTTCAATAATTACACTTCCAAATCTGTTTTTGATCAAAACCATCCAACTATATTTATTTTGTCAAAATCACCTATGAAATAAACGCACCCAAACATAACAGCAAAATCAGTTCTAACCAAAATCAAGTTTGCAAACTCAATTCTAACCAAACTCAATTTTGCAAACTTTAATCATAAGCCACCCATAATAAACTATGTATTCGTTTATCAAAAAGAAAAAACCTATGTACTCGACAATAGTAGATAAAATTTTTTAAATTCAAATGAGCTCTAAATGGTTAATTCACTTGTTTTCAAATTTTCTGGATCTTGGACCCACTGCAGAAATATTCACCCATCATTAATTAATTCCAATTACCACCCAAACCTAGATTCCTTTACGGTGTCGCTTTTACAAACAGATTAATGGTGCGAATATCAGCACTCAAAACAGTTCCGAGGAAAAAAAAAAGGATACCAAAAAAAAAAAATCATGAGGAGTTGCAATAACTAAACAAATCAGAGGCCAAATATGAATATCAAGTCATTTGTTCGCTACCAGATAAGGTTCGCCATAAGTCAAAAGGATTATCTTTGAATGGAATGATTTTAGTTATTGAAACGTGACTTTGAGTACTTCTTAATTCTCAAAGAAATAAGCACGCTAGATAGTATACCAAATACTGGAAGCAGGTAAGACCATATAGGAGATTTCTTAGATCCAGAGGCTGAAGCAACAGCAGCACCAGCAAGGCTTCCAAGAGAAGTATTCTGCAAGATCATTGGGATGCATCCAATAACAGTGGGAAGCAGAAAATCCAACAAGAACCCTACTTTGGTAGCAGCTAGTGTATAGTTAACAACATAGGAGGGCAAAGGAGAGAAGCGAGCAAGGAGAACAAATTTCCAACCATCTTGCTCAACTCCTCTAGACAGGAGATGAAAATATTTGTTTCTTTGAGCCCACTCTACTGCTGAGCTCGAACTTCTGAAAATTATCCTGGATGAAAAAGAATTTACGTAAATTTAACTGAAACAAAGAACAAGACAACAGAGGATGAATTACGCATTTCATGTGCGAACACGTCATTTAGTGCCAGGAAAACTTTGTTGCTCAACTTGTTAACTACAGTTGGGTAGCCTTCATACAATCTCATTGACTAATGCTATCCAGCAACAGGACTCATACTCATTATTGTAGCACATACATTAGCAGTTTTCAGCAATAACCGTAGTGATTTTCACGTCATTGAAGCAAGTATTAAAGCTACAACTCTACTAACATTAGATTGTTTGGATTCACCATATGCTTTGTAGGCCTACTTATATCAGGATAAAGTTACGGTTACCCTCAGGGATATGAACTATCTGGCTCTTTCTTTTGAACATATATACACAAGGCCATAAGTTGCGCTTGCACAAGAAGTTGAATAGACGCAAAAAATACAAGGATACAACAGAATATTATTACTCTCATAGCTACCGGTACGCGTTTTACAATGAAGCTTGCATGATAAACAGCTGATAAGAATTCATTTTCCATTGTTAGCCTAAATAATAGGAGATATCAAAGATTCATCTCAGGATATTCCCAGTTTCACAAACCAGTTAGATATAAGTAGAGCACAGAGATGCATTATTTACTTTCAACAGCACCGACATTAGTTGATCAAAATCAGGCAAAACTGATTATCCAATGCTTGAAAATAAAGCGGTTGTCAAAAATCGGATTTACATGCACTCGATCGATTCTTTCTCTAATGAGAAGTAGGTTAATATTCATATATCCGTAGGATTTTGCTATTTACACTATAAACAAACCTCTTTGACCAATATGAGGAAACGAGTTGGGTATTCGGGCTTGAAATGAATGGTATATAATTACATCTCATGAATCAATCCATATGATGCAAGTTGACTTAGCAGAAGGCTCAGAGAGTAGTTTCTGCTGTGCAAGTTGAAAATTGTAATCCGTAATTAACAAGTCCTAAAGTATTTTAATGAACAAGTAAGTGAAAATTAAACTAAACTCTAATTAAGAAATGAGAATCTTGATTGTTCCATTGACAATAAACAACGAAGTAAATGGGCATAGAAGAAGAATGCGAACCTGCCGATCCAAAAAGAGAGAGAAGCACCGAGCACCTTGGCTGAGAAGACACAGAGCAGGGCTGGGACGAAACCAAATAGCAGAGAAGCGGCGGCTTCCAAGAAAACAGAAGAAGGCAAACAGAGAGCAATGGAAAGTGTATGTATAGTGACGTACAGAGGGATGGCCCAAATACCCAATTTATCATACTGATCTCTCAATATCTGAATAGCTGCGTCCTTGTCCCATCCATAATTCTTTATCAATTCTCTCAAAATCCCTATGATTCCTACCAGCACAGCTAGTTTCAACCACCTTCCCATTCCCATTTTCTCTTCCGCGGCTAGGGCGCAGATCTCACGCACAAATTTCTTGCTGCTTCCCGCCGCTCTTCGTTCGTCTAGCGCTTCGATCGTTCGGGGCAATTCGATCCAAACGCATCGCGGCTGTCGTCGTTTGATTTTCATTGCCCAATTTCCGTGACATGTCTGAATTTTGACTACTTTGACTCGAAAAAAAATAAAATTAAAATGAACTTTGGTGCGTTGGATGAATGGAATTTTGAATTTTAACTTAATCTAAATTGTTTATTTGGATTCAAAAATTAATGTTTTGAATTTAAATTCATTTTTTATTATAATTTTTTATAATTTTAAATTTTCTCAACACCTTAATTATTTAAAATTTCAATAACCTTAAATATGTTGTTCTCATTATATTTTTATTATTGATACTTATAACTCTCATATCTTTTTTTATATCTCTTTTTCATTTATTAAAAATAAAGATAAACTTGTTATTTCTAATTTTTTATTATTTTAAATCTCAACTCATCTATTTTCTTTAGTTAAAATTTTTTTAAACTACTCAAATAAAATATTTTAAATACATAAATTTTAAAAGTGACATTTAAAATACAAGATTTTAAATTTAAAATCCAAATCCATCAATTCAAACACTACCTTAATTTATATTTATATTTTGAGTTAAAGTTTATTTTTACTTGTGAACTTTTCTCAATGAGCATTGCATATTCTCTACTCTACTGATACATAGGGTAATTTTCCTCTCGAATAATTTTTTTGAAGAGCAAGAGATTGATCATTTTCTTTGGTTTTAATTTACCTTAAACTCTTTTTCAATCAACGCTAGGCACCTTGAAAGTTTAGTTAAAATAAAATTTAATAAGTATTATTAAAATATTAAATAATTTAATATTTAATAATTTAAAATGTTATTATTTATAATATTCATTTAAAATTTATAAATTATTTTTTTAATATTAACAACTTAAACTAGTTTTTTTAAAAATTTATAGGTCACTTATAAATTGTGTCACTACCCCAAAAAAAAAAAGTTGCTTTAGTAGCAATTACATAGTAGTAGTTTGAAAACACTGCTGCAAAATATAACTATTATAGCGGTTTTCCTCCATATTGCTACCATCTTGTAACAGTTTGACCCTTATAAATCCACATAAGAGGGAGTGAATTAGGCTTTATAAAAATTTGGCTAATAAATAAAATTAAGGAAATGAATTTAGAACGATATCACTAATCATAAAGAGTAAGGAAGAAAAGCTTGCATAGTTATTTATTTTAGTTCAGCTCCAAATACTTGAGCCTACGTTTAATCCTTAAGTACCACTTGAGATTTTCTCCACTATCTCTGCCAAGATTAACTCAGACTCTTGGTAGCCTTAACATAATTCCAAACTCACACTAGAGTCTTAATCATTCTCTCTTATAAAAATAATGATATAACCCTCTTAAACTTTAGGAGTTTAAGAAACTTTATTTCAAGTCGGAAAAATAGAGATGAATAGAGTAAATTTCAGAATAAACTACTACTACCAAATACTCTCTCTAACCATTGATATGCAATCAATAAAACTCTCATATAATAAATACAAACTTAAAAGTTGGTAAATAATAAATAAGAATAGCTCAAGTTTGTTCGTGTGTGTTCTGTTGTTACTATCTTCATAAATTCTCTTATTTATAGTTGAGTTTCATAAATGATCCGTTACACTCATGAATATAGCCACTAGAGTCATCATCTTCTCCTGAGTAACTTGAGCTTTTCTCTAAAATAAGGCAATGAAACAGTACTTTGCAGTAGAGCTTTCTTTCACATGACAAGTAAGAAAAATAACGTCTCTCTGCTTTAAATATTCTGACAATATAAATAAGATGCTCTTCTGGAATAACAACATTATTTAGGAATAAAGAATTTATGTCACTACTACAAAATAAGCTTACAAGAGGTTTTTTTTTAGCCTAGAAGTGCTATCGTATCGAGCACTCCAAAATATATAGGAGTGCTTTGTAAAGCGCTCCTATATGTATTAGATACAGGAGCACTTTTTGATAAACACTTTTTAGAGCGCTCCTAAATGTAAAATATTATTTAAAATTTTTATTTTTGAATTTTAAGAGTGCTTTTTAAATTGAGTGCTTCTTAATAGCGACATATCAAAGCGCTTATTATAATAAGCACTCCTGTAGGTTTCACCTCTATTTTTAGTAGCTCCTTTTCCATAAGTGCTCTGGAAGACGTGCTCCAAAGGATATTTTTTTTGTAGTAGTGTGAATGGGATCAAAGAGAGCTTAATTCATCCTAAGAATGTGTTTAGAATAACTCTAGAAAGAATATGTAACTCATGTAACTCTTGGAAGATGAAAAGAAAAGGATTTGAGAGAGTTTCAAAAAACTCTTGTTTTTCTCACATGAAACAAAGCATTAACCAATATGTTTATTTTAGAATAAGTAGACATATTTCGAAACAACAAAGAATACAATAATGAGAAGTAAACCAAGCATATTCCAAAGTGAAGAACATATATTAGAAGAGATTTATAAAGCATTGATCCAAGGTTCTTTCTTTAGGAATAAGAGAAGTTATTCCCAAATAAGTTATTCTTAATATTCCTGAATAAGTTATTCTTGAAGAACATGTTTCTTGGTTATTTGGGAATAAGACACTTATTTCAGAATAAGCATGCCTATTTAGGAATAAGGCCAAAAGCCAAAAATTTAAAGCAACGAATATGAATTCCCTTACAAGCCATAAACGTATATTTATTAAACTTGTAAAACACAAATTTCTCTTATTTTGTTATTATAAAAACCAGGGTTCAACAACCCCAACATTTTGGTAGGAGACATAGTGGTAGTTATCATAGAGGTTTACTAGATAAAAGCTACACCTAACATGGCAGTGGTTTAGGCAAATCGCTACTATTGAAAGCATGAAATGGAGCAAAAAATTTATAGCAATTGCATGGTAAAACCACTACAATATTGGTAGCCGTTGTTGACTGCTACCAATCTACCTTAGATAATAGATAGTTAAAAGGATAATGGTTTGTGTATCAATTCTTTAAAAAACTGCTACCATTTTGAAATTGCATCAATGACTATCTTACCCACCGTTAGGATCTAAGCAATCTAGGTAGCGGTTGTAGATGAAACTGCTACATCATTATAGCATTTTGTGTAGCGGTCTATGATAGTCACATCTATATAAACCTTTAACCTCCTCATTTTTTCACTTTTGGCAAAATTTCTTCTAACCTTTACCTTCTAAAAGATCTCTTGTGCGCACCTATTAAGAATGTTTACTAGGATGCTTTCCCTACTGCTGGTGGTGTTCAACCTGAGCAATATATTTGATGACAATATTCTAAAGGAGAAGCATTAGGAAGAGGATGTTGAGGGTGACTTGAGACTAAGAATCCCTAAGGGTAAGGGTTCCCTACTGTCCCAATCCAAATGATTGAAGAATTCCTATACCAGGAGATATCTAAGTCTCGCGCGAGCAACAACTAGACCAGTGCTAAGAGGAAGAGTTATAAGGTTATGATACAAGGTAATTATTGATTTAAATTTTATTATTTAAATTTATTTAGTTTTTAATTTAATTTATTTTTAAATTAATTAGTTACTTTAAATATTTTCAAAGCCCAACGGCAATACCTATGAGAGGATAGTATAGAGTGAGACTAGCAGACCTTGCCTGAAGGTCGTCATGAGATGATGAGGTGAAATGCAGCTGAACAGCCAGTCTCTCAATTAGGACAACTATACAATCTTTTCCTTACGGGACTTAGAAAAAAAATATAACATTTTTCCCATTGACCTACCCACTTGGATGAGGGTTAGGAAACAAGTGAAGGAAGATATCTGGGAGCAAATTATGAATGTATTTATTTATTTATTTAATATTTCATTTAATTTCATTAAATTATATTAATATATTTATTTATATTAATTTTTATTAATAAAATCAATTATTAATTATATTTAGTTAATTTTATTTATTTATTTCATTATAATTATATTAATTTTTTGTTATTATTTATTTAACAAAAAATTATAGTGATGGATGATAAGAAGTTGTACCCACTTTCTAAGATGGGAAATGGGTGTAAGAACGATAGAAATTGCCTATTTTAGAAATGTAAAGGGGATAAAACAAAATCCATGGAGGAGGTGGCATCAAATGACCCTCCTGAAGTGAATCCCAATGATCAGAATAAATTTGTCAAGTGGCACTATACTCCTACTCCAAAAACAATTAATTTTGTTTGTCAATATATATTGATTTATTTTAAGGTAACTTGATTTGTTTATTAATTTTTAATTTAAATTTAAATATAATTTATTTATAATAGGAAGTCTCAGGAAAGGCTAAGAGCAGCTGGAGCCAACAGACGATCCACAATACTAGTGGATTGAAAGGATTTATCGTTCAGTAAGACAATATGGTAAATTCAATTAATTCAATTCAATTTGATTTAATTTAATTGATTTTTAATTTTTATTAATTTAATTGTTTGAACTAGATATTACAAGAGCAAGAGGCTACTGTGTAACATCCTAAATTTCTAATCTGAAAAATTGTGAACTAATAAAGGATAATTAATTATTTATAATTTTAAATGTAATATATTTTTGGACTTGCTAATGGACTTATTAAAATGTTTGGATAGCTTTGGAAGAGGAAGGATGTTTTCTGGGTCAACGGAGCCCAATTGGTGGCTTAAATGTTCATATGACCTAATTGAGTCATTCCTAGCAGTGAACTGCATTAGATTTAGTTAAGTAAATAGCGGATCAAGTGCATGAAAATAGGGAGGAAAATGGGAAAAATAGCAAAACTTGAGAGAGAAGAGATCTCTCTGCTAGGGCAAAGAATTTCAAAAAGCTAGGAGTTCTAACTTATGAAATCTTATAAACTATTATATGATTCTAAATTGAATAGTTGATTGTATTATTATATGAATTTGTATAATCAACAAGAGGGTAGGAGATCACCCTAGGGGAAGTAGATAGAAATCTAATGGTACCACTGACATCATAAGTGGCCCTAGTACTCAGTTGTTATTCTGGAAGCTCCATTATCAATTGTAAAGCTATGGGCCAAAGCATTATGACACCCCAAGTATTAGAAAAGGAGGAATCTATAGTCT